GTGGTGTTTCATTTATGACTACCATAAAATTTGAAACTCATGGTCTGAAACTCTCACAAAGGTATAAAATACAAATCTATAACCGCCCTTGTCCTTCAATGCTCCTTTTTCCCCTCCAATGTAACTCTTACCAAAAGATTGCACAGTGTTTCCAGACATCTCCTTTAATCAACCATAAATTTACAGACCAGATTTTAATCTCTATCAATAAACTGACCTTAAAATATCTATGTTAGCCCACTTTAATTAAATGAAGTCTCACTTTGAATCCTCAGCCAACTTACGGTGTGAGCTACATCTCAGTTATTTCTGGAACTTCTTCCCTCTTTTCCTTGAGTAATGGCAAAGTTCCTTGGTTTGTGATGCAGCCCGCGGCCCCTAGGACCCAGCACATCTTCCCTGGGTCAGGTCTCCCACTTAACACCAAGACTTTGTTACACCTGCACCCCAGTGTTGTCTCTATGAAAATTACCTCACGAAAGTCACTGAAGATTTGATACTGCTCTTGTAAAGCAGCCCGGGGGTCTGCAGGTCTCCGGGCACGCCTTTCTTAGGTTTCAGAGACTTGGTGTCCATGAGAACTTATTTCTGTTTCCCCTGAAGACACTAGCTCAGTGACACATTCACAAACTCACTGCTCTCCATAAAATTCTCAGGGACACCAGGGTAAATTCTGAATTATCTGTGTAGTTTGAATCATTTTCTGCCGTTCTTCCTGGAGTCACCCTGGTTCACCTTCTAACGACAGACCTGTCATTTTCCCACTGTGATGTCCTGCCTTCTCCCTTGTCCTGCAGTGATACATTTCAGCTGCTGCTGGCTGACACGTTCATTTCACCTCTTCTCTATGTGTAGTTTTAATAGGAAAACACAAAATCTCTTGGGTCTCGAAGGAGAGAGTGATGACTTCTGCTAGTCATGTTATTGTAATCCCACTTCAGTCTCATCTCAGGAAGAGGCCAAAGGTTTTCCATAGTCCTAGGACTGAACTTAGATAGTCACAGTACAGAGCAGTGTCCTTCCTATATCAGATAACCGACTAAGGCATGTAAAGACAAGTCCGACCTTTAGGAGCAGTTGGTGGCTCATCTTTGCTTATCATCCACTCTGTTAACATTCATCCAACTGGCTAATTATTATATCTACACTTCCCTTCCCCCAGCTGCCTGGGCATCCTACCTGTTCTTTCAGAGCACAGATCGAGCTGCTGTCTCCTCAGTGCAGCTTGGGACCTCAGTGGCTGTGCTGTTCCAGGAGGGACCTCAAGGTCTGTTTGGAAGGTCAGCTTCTTCAGCTTTGATCTGCTCCTGTTCACTGTGGACCAGGCTCAGGCACATATCCATTTCTTTTTTCAT